GTTTTCTTGAAGTATCGTTGTCTCTGAATGAATTACAATGCGAGTTCTTCAGCGATCACTGAACATGCTCAGTGTATTGATCGCTGGAACTGAAAGTACAGAATCACAAAAATACATCGAAAGGAAAAAGGGATTATCATCAAATCACTGAGAGAGAGGATCAACAAAAAGTCTAAGCCATTCAAATACGTCAAACTCAATCACATGTTGAATAATAACAACATAACATTAAGCATTGCATAATAACATAGTTGAATTACAACTAATTACCAAGCATATAACTGATAACCAATCAATCTTAAGCTTCTTTTATTTACCTTACTACCTGTGCCAAACGACGCACAATGAATTAAGCAACCTAATTGTTCCCGACCGGGTAACTAGTAATGAATACCACTAAGCTTAACTTAGCCATATGTACGAATAACAATCACATGTGAGAAATATGAAGCAAAAACAATAATAATAACCACAACGGCTAAACGATCTAAATAAAAAAAAGTATAAAAATTAAATTGTAACATATCTAATTGTTTTCTTTCCCTTGGGGAAACGAGTCATGAGAAACTCACCTAATTTGTTGAATGGTTAAGGAACGGTAGATTTCTGTAAATTTACTACAAACCGAATACCTAAACAAATAATTTAAGGGTTCCAAAGTTAAACAAAAATAATTATCAATTAAATCTGTGAGTTACTAAATAATATTTCAGATTTAACTCTACTTCACTCGTTATAACTCGTACCTTTTAATTAATTGTGTCTACCTTAATGTCATTCCTATCGACTACGTGACCAAGGAATTGTACTTCACAAGCAAGAACTCATACTTGGAAAACTTGACATATAATTTTTCCTTCTTCAGTTGTTCTAGTAACACGTGAGGTATTCTATGTACTCTCTCGGAATCTTCGATTACATCAATATATCATCGATAAATATATGATAATGAACTTATCTAAATATGGTCCACACACCCTATTCATCAAGTCCATAAACACAACCGGTGCGTTCGTCAAACAAAAAGGCATCACAAGGAACTCATAATGACCATATATCATCATAAGTGTTGTATTCAAGAATATCTTTATCTCGTACTTTCAGCTGATGGTAACCAGACCTTGAAACAATTTTCGAGAAATAACTCATGCCCTATTGTTGGTCAAACAGGACGTCTATCCTTAGTAAAGGGTACCAATTCTTTATAATGACCTTGATTAGATCTCGGTAGTAGTTTCACATCCGCATCGATCCATCTTTCTTCTTAACAAATAAGATAGGTATACCCCGTGGTGAGGACTTGGGGGGGGATAAAACCATTTTCTAGAAGCCCTTGTTGCTGTTTCATCCATTCCTGCATCTTGGTTGGTGCCAACTGGGGTATGAGGACTAGCAATCGGTGTTGTTCCTGGCATCAATTCAATCTTAAACTCAACCTAACACTCTAGTCTTAGTCCATGCAAAGCTTTAGAAAACACCTCTGGATACTTGCTCATAATCGGCACCTCTTCAATTGCTTGTTTCTCCAACTTTGCATTAATGGCATAACCTAAGTAGGCAAAAAACTCTTTTTTTAGAATTTGTTTGCCTTAATTGTTGAAATTATGCCTATAATATTCTTTCTTCTATCTCTATATATGTGGATA